TTAGAAGAATTTGCATTCTGCAGATGTTGGGTGGAGTGTTCTATAGGTGTCTGTTAGGTCTACTCGGCTTAGAGTACTGTTCTAGTCTTCTATTTCTTTGTTGATTTGTCTAGTTGTACTATCCATCATTGCAAGCGAGGCATTGAAGTTACCGTTACTGTTGGTCTATTTCTCTTTTCAATTCTGTCAGTTTTTGCTTCACACATTCCCGTTCCACCAGTTGTTAGGTGGATATATATGTGCATAATTATGCCTTCTTGATGGATTTACCTGTTTATTATGTAATTTTTCTCTAGTAATAATTTTTATCTTAAAGTCTATTTTATCTGACATTATTGTATCCACTCCAGCCTTGTTACTGTTTGCATGGTATATCTTTTTTCATCTTTTTACTTTCAACTTACTTGTGTCATTGAATCTAAAGTGTTTCTCCTGTAGTCAGCATATAGTTGGACCATTTTTACCCATTCTGCCCTCTCTGCTGATGTAAATGGAGTGTTTAATCCATTTACATTTAATATAATAATTCATAAGATGGGATGCCATTTTGTTTTCTATATGTCTTGTCTTTTTGTTCCTTTATTCCTCCATTACTTCCGTGCTTTCTTTTGTTAGTATATCTAGTGTATCATTTTAACTCCCTTGTTGTAGCTTTTACTATATATTCTTCAGCTATTAGTGGTTTTCTTGAGGATTATAATTAAACATTTTTACTGTGTATAGGGCATACTTTTTGTGTCTCAATTTTTGTAGAAAGCTTGACATTTTAAAGAATCATGTGGACATTTTAAAGAGTAATGTGGTAACTCTGGAAATCATATTTACTTACCTCCCTGCCAAGGTTTGATGTACTTGCTGTTTTTTATTTAGAAACTCTTCTGAACTAATTCACCCCATTCTGCCCCCTCCAGTGGCTTTCAGGCTGCTGGTTTTCAAGGATAAGCAGAGATGGAAGGGGGTGGGTATGGAAATAGGACATGTTAAAAATGCCACAAAGCTCACTGTTCATACTGAGATTCAGCCATTTTTTCTTGAATAAGTACTCCTTGAATTGTTGCAGACTTTGGTAACTTCCTGAATTCTGAAAAAAGTTGATTCTGACACTTTTTGCCAATTTTCTCCTTGCTTTTATGGAAGGGAAAATTTTCAGAGATTCTTGCTCCACCATTTTCACTGGCTTTGATTTAAATATTTAAAACTCCCCTTTCTTTCTTGACAAAATGAAATTTGGTTAAACTAATAAAGCCACCATCATGGAAACTTCTGAGCATTCACACGGTTCAAGCTTAATTATTCTATAAAATAATTAGAATATATTTGGTTGCTATGAGATGCAAGCAAACTGGATACAGTATGAGTTTGAGAAAATGGCCACAATCCAAATAAATGTTGCCATAACTTTTCAGAGGGCAGACTCAGAATCTTGGAAAATCCTTTCATTATAAATATATATTTAAACCTTGGATCATTATAGACTCAACAGTCACTAGACAAAACCTGATATTCTTTAACACAGGTAGCAAGAATAATCCACATTTGTGAGTGGAAGAAAACACAGCCAATCCTTGCAAGTCTCTTAATTACACAGAGAAATGATCTCCAAATGCTCCACCTTCTGCCAAGCCACCACACTGGGCTGCCAGTACTTTTGTTTCTCCGAAGTACAAGGGACCATACAGTCATGCTTCAAAGAGAACATCCTATGCTGTGAAGCAATCTCTTTTCCTGACCGAGGATAACAGTCACTCAGCTATGATCAATCCCTTCCCTAGAGACACCTGAATCACTTTCAGATCTATTAGCTGGCCGATGACAGAGGGAGGTACTTCCCAGGTAGGGACAGTGAGATTTGGATGATTTTTACACAGACACTGAACTATTTTCAAGAATACAGACTTTATAAAAACCCTGTTTGAAGAAAAGGCAAGATATTCACCGAGTTCCTGGAAAAATGTAGGAGCTCCTCATTAGGAGCAAGCAGGAGTGAATAGAAACCACAAGAATAAAAGCATGATAAAATGGCCAGGGTTATGTAAGGAAGCTTTAAGTAAGATTCTTACAGAGAGTGTGTGTTTATGAGCCTATGAAATGAATTTACATCTCAATATTTAATTACATCAGGTTGCATTAGAGTTGGTCCAGTTAGGAATCCATATTCATAAATCATCTGAATGTTTTGATTTGTGCTGAAGCAATGTACCATGTTAAGCATTTTACAGTAATGATAAGAATGTCTGACTTTTCAATTCAAGGAAGAGAAACATACCTTTACTATCAATAATTTTTAAAACTGGCTTTGCAAGTTCTGAAAGATTACAAAATAGGTATATATTTTAGGGAAAACTATATTGAGAACCTCATAAGCCAACTGGTGTTGAATCTTTTTTTCTTGGACTGTAAACATTTTAATTCATAATGCTCAATGTGAAAAAAAAAACTAAACTAGCCAGACAAGCCAGAATGTGAAAGGTTTTAGTGAGCCATTGACCACGTTGTTTAATATACACCTCACTTTTCCAGAACCAGAAGACCACATAAACAAAGAAATTCACCACTCTATTAGCCAGAGTGGATACTCCACTAGCCAGGGATCTTTCGTGTACTGATCATTTAAGAAATTTTAAGTGTGCTCAAGGTATATATCAATTGAAGATGCAACATTTCACCTACAATATAATTGAGGTTTCTGTTATAATAACAATTAGGCACACTGAAGACCACTGATAGGGAAATCCACTAAAATGGGTCCCCTTTGTACTACATCATAAAGAAGGCCTCTGCTTATGAAGCTATCCTGGACTTTAAAAGTTACCACTAACCACACATGAACTCACTGATGGAAATTTACCTGAACAGATGATACTTTCCAAGTAGCTCACTTTTTTTTTTTGCATTACTCTTACTTGTGTGACGTATTTTTCTACTTACCATAACTGTTGCTCTAGAAAACAACATATATAATAATTTTAGATTCACTTTTCTGAAAAGCTTTGGACATAATCCAAATACACAGCATGTAGCAAATTTTCTCCAGTGGACAACATTCCCTTATAACATCAAAAGATTAAGAATGACATCAGGGAATCCAGCACAAAATTTCCAAAATGAACAGCACCAGGGAAATCACGTATGTTCTATTTCTCATCAATTAAGCTCAGGTGCTGCAGCCAAGGATTAAGGTTGTGACTGCCCAAAGGTGGTTTTCCCAGCCCACTGCTGGTGTTCGGCACACTGTAGTTTATAACGGGTAGAGAGAGGATGCTTGGGTGGTAAGATTCTTTGTAAAATTTCAGACAAAGTAAAACTAATGTATTATCTCAACGAGAATCCTGAATATCAGGTTAGCATATTGCATAGCTCCATTCCGAAACAGCATTGTAGAGGATGAAATAGAAAGATGTAGCGATATATTTACTGTCACTTAAGTGATAGGTAGCAGTCACTGAGGCCTGAAGAACATTTGTGAAGTTTCATGCCATGTTTTTTCACCTGCCAACTTATATACATGTAGAGGTTATGCTACAACTTCAATTGTTCCAAAGGATGAAAGAACTGTTACATTTTGATATAGATCTTCAGTTCCTATTATACTACAAGCCTTTGAAATGTTAAGGCTGAATAGACCAACTTATGAAAAGGGACATGAGGAAGTAAGAACAGTGCAGATACAGTGGGAACACATGGTAACTTTCTGCCTTCGCCATTCTACGTGGATAGTGTGTTTTCTGGGCAGCAGGTGGTGTGACTGTAAAAAGATCACACGTTTGTCAGTAACTATGTAGGATTTTTTGGCACTGCTAGAGCCTAGCATTATAGATAATAAAATTCCATCAACCAGATTTTTGATTAAGTCTGAAATTTTTGAAAATAATTTTTCTACCAAGTAAACTTTCTTGGTTCTCATTTCAGTCCTGCCTTTTAGAAAACTCATCATTAAAATAAAAAAAAATTAAAAAAAGAATCACTTCATAGCAACCAGATGAACATCTGGTAGCAAAGCAATGCTAAAATGCCATCCTTTCAAAGAAAGAGCAAATACGTGACTCCTCCATGAAGAGCAGTTCTTTCTGGCAGGGTGGAGGCTCACAGACTTTCCGTTTCTGGACTTCCCTGCAAGTCCAAGGCTGAATTTGGACCCTGCTTTTCCTGTATTTTTTCAGTAGAATCAGGACAATATGTTAAGTATATAAGAAACTAGGGTCAAAATGAAGATAATCTCATGCAGCAGGTAAATAAATGTGCACGGGCTGTACTTAGAATCACCCTGCTAAAAACTAGTAGAAGTAGCTGAAGTCTGTTTTTCACAGGTAACAAAAATACTTCACTCAGTATAAATGTAACCATAAACCTATCTAACAAGGGCACTGGAGGTCTTATTTTGATGTGTATTTTCTCCCCCTTTCTCATTATATGGAAACTGTTTATATCCACAAAGGATCAGATTTTGGAAAGCCTCAAATATGCCTTCAAAAAAATCTTATCAGGACATAAAAAAGTTTCAAAAATTATTTTTCTGTAAACAGTCTTTTAAAATATGAATGTATTTCTTTATAATCTACATTTTTGTTTTAAAAAACCCCTCACAAAGTCTCTTAATACATTGCAAAACTTATAAATGGTTGTAACTTTCCAGAGCGTGTGTCTGGGATCCTTGCTGAGCCTCCACGGGAGGCTAACTCGGCCGCCAACTCGGGTACACCACCCTGCTGCTCCAGACTACTGAGGCCAGGGGACTGCCAACACTCTAAAAACTGACACGTTTCCCCTGGAGAAACCATGGAGAATAACCTCTTGGGGAGATAATTCTCTGGGGAAAGAAAGTGATGAGAAGTATCACTGAAGGTATGTGTGATCGAAAGTTAATTTGGCTATAATATCAAATTATAGTTCTTCGGGGAATGGAAACTTGCTTTAAATTAGGTTTGGGAGGCTCACCAATCTAAATAGTTTATGTATAAGACACACTCACATAAAAAGGAAAAACACAGAAGACAAAAGGTCCTTAATTTGGGGGAGGCTGTATTCCAACTTGGGGGGAGGGTGGAGGCATTTTAGCTCTGAAGCTCCATCATGACATTTCCAGAGAGTTCCTCAGTGCCCCCACATTTGACAGGACAAGGTGGAAGCGCCTGTTCTGGCCTGGCTGGACTCTCACGCCCCCGCCACACACAGTGTGCGACGTGCAGGCAGCTGCAGTGTCAAGCTGGCAGCGCTCCTGAGGCGCTTGTCTTGAGTGTTTATCAGCTCAGCAGGTCAAAAGTCTGCAGACACTGGGTGGAGCAGCAGTAAGCCACAAAACTAACAGTTGTCCTCCTGGAAGGGGAAAAAAGGGAGAGAAGAACACTGTGAGTTCAAGATTAAAGTCTCTGGATCCTTTCCACTGGAGACAGTCTCGTTTCTTTGTTAAAGGGAAGGATTAGGCATGGTCAACAAACTGCATAATAGAAATGTAAATTTCCTTTTAAAAATGAGCACTGGAATCAGGTAAAGTGTGTGTGTGCATATGTGTACTCATTTAATAGTAGTATTCAGATGACATGCTAGCACTAAACTGCAGCTAAGGCAAAACAAGCCTTTTCTATATTATGTTCTGAATTCTGCATACTACTATGTTTGGAATTCTGCATACTAGAACCAATAGTGTAATCATGGAATTTGAAGTACATTATAAAATCATATATACAGAAAATGTCACCAATTTAGCCAGAACACATATATATTGCAGAGCTTAAACAACATAATTTTAAGGAATTTATCCTGCAAATGTATTCACATACATTGTGCATAGAGGAAATTTCAGAATCTGAATAATACAGTTCGAAGGTCTTCCCACATAACAGGAATCCCTTCTCAAGCTCCTGTTTGGGCACCTTTGTACAGTGTGTCATGAGCCCACGGGGGCCTCTGATCCATCCGGACAGCTCCAACAGTCTACTATTGTTTTCACAAGACCCTTCGTGCTGTTTTCCATTTCTCCTCCCCTTAATCCAGTCTCTGTCTTCCTCTGTGGCCCAGGAAGGAGACTCCTACAGACTCTATCACTGAAGCTGCCTGATCTCTGGCTTCTGGTTAGGCCAGTGGGAGGCACCTGTGGGAAGTTGAAGGGCAGGAAGAGAGAAAGGTGTTTCTATCCCACTCCTTCTCTCCCCCTGTGACTAGAGCTCCCATCGGGCAAGGCCCCTTTGACAGCTCTGGTTCTCAGCAGGCTCCAGAGTTCCCTTTGCCCCTCAGGTCTGTGGACTGAGGATGGTAAGGGCTTCCTACTGTTGTGGGTCCCTAGGGGCCTCATCATCCTTGTGGGTGCTCTGAACTCTGCCTGAACTTCAGTAAACTGTCCCTCTTCATAAGTTTCTCTTCAAAATCCCAGCTGAATGTGTACTTTGTTCTCCAGCCCTAATAGAGTGTGTGTTATGGGGTGTGGCCCAAGGAAACAGTCCATCAAAATGACATTCTGGGGTTGGGATGGTGAGTGCATGCATGGACTTCTTGCTAGGGAGAAGTGGGACACTGCTAACCTGTTGAATGCTGTGGCATCACGGTTACTCAAAGTATCACTTAACCAGAATGTCAGTGGGGGTAAGGCTTTGGGAGATTGAGTGGCTGTGGGACTTGGTTGCCATGACATCATGGTGAATTCAAAGTATGTGGAGTGGGATGGCTTCTTCCGACTGTGCTGAAGAGATCTCCAAAAGAAAAAGATAAGCTTAGTGCCTTGAAATGTCAACTCAAGGCATGGGCAGAATATCAGAAAGTTTCTAGGGTGGCCTCAAAGGAATCTTCTGAAGGTGTAAGGAACATGGCTGAAGGCTGAATGTAGACGTTTCAGGATCACACGCCAGAAAAAGGTATATTTATGTGAAATCTCTCACACAGGCAAAGGTGCTGGTTGGGAAGGAGTAGTAACTTGAAACTTGAGATGGGAGCCTTTGGATAGGCATACATTTTAGAACCATGAACCTCTAATACCTCTAAACATTTCTTCACATCAGAAACAGGCCTTTCCAACTTCTAAGAAAACTAGCATTCCCGTGCACAAAAATGTTTCAGTGGCTTCATCTGAGGAGGCTACCTCCCAAAAAGGAAGTGCCTGTTTTTTCAAGACCCACCACTACCATCAACACTCATTGCCTTTAGGGCCATAAAGAGAGTACAAATCCTCGCATGATCCAGAGAGGTCACTGCAAGGTCCACTCCTGAAGGAAATAATGTATAAACTGAAGGAATTTAAGGACTTTGTCAAATTGTATTCATAGGAACCTGGACAGCACACATGGACATGGATTCTAAGTACTTTAGTCAACAAGAATAGATGTAAGGTTGGATCAGGCCAACAAGGGTCCTTCAGCAAGGCCTTGGAATACAATGTGTTACTCAAGCACCTGGAATGGTTAACAGAAGCGTTGACTCAGAGGAGGCCTACAGTCGATGAGACAGAGATGCCAGAACTCCCCTTGCAGACTCTAGAGGGAGGAGATCAAAGGCCTAGAGAAATGGAAATGTTGGAGTGGACCCAAGGTGGTATACCCTGCTCAGCCACCTGCTGAAAACCTCTAAGAGGATCAGGAAGTCTTTCCCTTCTCTAAGGTATATATATTTGCAAGGGGAATACAAATTGGAAGTAGCAAGTACACTTGATGCCTTAGTAAGATGTGCTTATTGGAGGTGAGAGACAGACCCAGCAAAAGCTCAGTTACTTGATACATCAGTGGAGCTTCAAATGGGAAGAACAGTGGTATTTGGAAATGCTCACTATGAAGAAACAGATACACACTTGTGAGGACCTTTTGGATTTTGGAGGAAAATATATTTGGACGGTGACTTTTGGTTCTGCCAAGATGGGGCAGCCACATTCCTCCCAGGTCCGTCCTCTTGGAACTAAAACACTCTAGTCATAACACAACAAACAGGCATAGGAAGCCTCGGAAAAGTAGAACAAAGGCAAACAGCCTAGGGACCTTGGAACTTGAGGAACAACACAGCAGTAGTGAGTTCCCTGGGTTACCTTATTGCTACATATATTGTAGACAGGATGCTGAAGAACCACCAACAGGCACAGATAAAAATACCTCCAAAACAAAGCCTGTTCCCCCAAGCCAAAGGACTGGGGCAGGGAAATCTACAGAAGCAAAAAGTAGACAAGTAGTTGCTTAGGGCTGGGCATAGGGGGACAGAGGGATAAGAGCTAAAGGTGCTGGATTTCTTTTAGGGGTGAGAAAATGTTCTGAAGTTGACTGTGGTGATGGCTGTACATATCAGTAAATATACTAAAAACTACTGAATTGTATACTTTAAGTGGATGAAATTATAGGATATGTGAATTATCTCAATACAGCTGTTGAAAAATAAGAGAGCTAACAGAAGAAAGATAAATCCACAATAAGCATTGGGAACTTCAATACCTTACTCTCAGCCACGGACAGAACTACTAAATAGAAAATCAGTAAAGGTATAGAAGAACTGAACAACACAATGAACCAAAGGATCTACCTGACATACAGAACACTCCACTAAATAGTAGCAGAATGTACATTTTTTGTTCAAATGCCCATAGAAGATTCACCAAGATAGACTATATCCAAGTCTATTAAACAAACCTCAACAAGTTAGAAAGAACTGAAATCACATAGATGTCCAGTGTTATCTCTTAACACACAAAGAGCCAGGAAACTGTCACACCTGTCTTTACAACAAGCCCAAGTTGAACAGACTCAAAATCAACAACTTTTTTCCAATCCATCAGAGAACTAAAACTGAACAACAAACTGTGACCTCAAAATCTGGAGAGACAGGTGAATCCAGAAAGTCACAGCTGAGCTCTGCTTACCTGGGCGAAGCTGCTAGAGCCATAAACTAGTAGAAACACTTAAATGAGAATGTTTACAAATTCTGGGACATAAAGTCACACCTTAAAAGATCAGAAATCATAGAAACTATATTTGTACACTACAATGGAATTAAACTAGAAATCAATAAAAAAAGAAAGTGGAAAATCCCCAAATATTTGGAAATTAAACAACTCAATCTAAATAATATGTGGGTCAAAGAAGAAATCCCAAGAGAAATTAAAAATATATTTAAACTAAATGAAAATGAAATACAGCTCATCAAAAAAATTATAGGATGCAGCAAAAACAATACTTAAAGGGAAATATATAGCACTAAATACACATACTAGAAAAGAAGGAGGATCTAAAATCAATCACCCAGATGTCTACCAGGAAAACAGAATGAAGAGCAATTTAAGTCTAAAGCAAGTAAAAATTATAAGAGTATGGTTTCCCAAAGTGTGAAAATCAAACAGCCCAGTTCTTTGACCCATGGATCAAATTACCACACTTCCATGGGTCAAAGAAGTCTCAAAGAAACTAAAAAATACATGAACTGAATGAAGATGAAAATACAAATCAAATATCAAAAATCTAGGGACACAGCTAGAGCAGTATGAGAGAAATTTATAGCACTAATGCTTATATTAAAACAGAGGAAAAGTCTCAAATCAATAATCTAAGCTTCTACCTCAAGAACCTAAGAAAAGAGCAAAATAAACCCAAAGCAAGCAGAAAGACTGAAATAACAAAGAGAAGAAACCAATGAAGTGAAAAACATCACTAGGATTAAGAAGAACAATAAAACTGATGAATCTTTAGCAAGACAAAGATAAAAAGAGGGAACACACAAATTCATATTAGAAATGAAACTGCTGATCTCACCACAGATCCTACAGCCATTAGAAAGATATAAGGGAATACTATGAAAAACTTTATGCTCATAAATTTGTCAATTTAGAAGAAACGCACAAATTCCTTGAAAATCACAAACTACCAATACTCAGCTGAGATAAACAGACAACCTGCATAGTTCTATAATCATTTTAAAAAATTGAATTTGTAATTTAAAAAAGAAAAGAAACTTCCATGCCCAGATGGTTTCACTGGAGAATTCTTACAAACATTTTTAAAAGAATTAGAAAGATTTTTACACAATCTCCTTCAGAAAAATAAGAGGAACACTTCCCAACTTATTTTATGAGGCCAGTATTACACTGACTCCCAAATCAGACAAAGATAACACAAGACCAGAAAACTATAGACCATTATCTCTCATGTACATAGATTTTTAAATATTTAAATATTTTAAATTAAAACTTAAATATTTTATTTAAAATTTAGAAATTTTAAATATTTAAACAAAATATTAAAAAATTAAATATAGAAATGTATAAAAAGAATTACATATGATCAAGTGGGAATTATTCTAGGTGTGTAATGCTGGCTTAATATTTGATAATATCATTCACCGTATTAATAGGCAAA